TGCCCCGGGACAGGGCGCTCCCCCCCCCCGTCCCCCCCAGGCAGGACCCAGCCCCGATGTCCCTGACAGGCCTTGGCTGCCCCCAGCCCTGGGCTCCACGGCCCTGGAGCCGATCCTCGGGCCACGAGCAAACACCAACTTTCGCTCTTTGACCGATGGGCCGGGTGCTCGGCCGCCGGGTGCTCTGAGTGGCCCTGAGGGGTGAGTGGTGTGGACCCCCCGCCACGTGCGCACCGAGGGGATGCAGACAGACTGAAGGGGGTGTGGTGAGCGGCGATGGAGCCCTCACAATAGACCCGAGGGAAGACACAACCTGGAAATACGTATCAAGTCGAGGGTGGCCCCTGCATCCAGGGAGATCCTGCAGCACCTCCGTTGCTTGAGATCACCGTGGCAGGTCCAGGATGGGTCACGATGCTCCTCACCCCGCGGGCTTAGGAAATATTGGGAGGAAAAGCTCCGGGACGCACCCTCCGCAGCCTGCAGGAGGGCTTGTACTTCCTGGGCTAAAGTTGCTCATGATGGGTCTCTTACAAGGAACAGGTAGAAGCAAACTGGAGTGTAACTGCCACCATACTCAGCACCAGTGACCTGAGGTGAAGCGGGAACATGCTGGGCCGCAGGAGGAGACAACAGGGGGCAGGGGCAGAATCCAAGGCGGGAACAGATACGCTGCCCTCTGGCACAGAGCTCTGGTTGGGCCTCCAGAGAACTGATTGTGAGCCTGAGGTGAACGAGGGTGGCAGCCTACGCTTCTAACCCCTGCTCCTTTTTACGAACAGGTCCAGAAGTGGGTTGGTTGCTGGGGCCTGAAATGATCCCTCAAAGGAACGGGGGAGTAGAGGCCCTGAAGACTTTCAGACCATGGAGTTTTGTGTCTGTTTGCGGACACCTCGCATGGGCGCTCCCATGGGAGTTCTGAGCATGAAGCCAGAATTGCCTCACAAAGGCTGTGGAAGCTGTTTTGACCGCTGGGTCAGCTGCATCTAGAGTGCCCTCCCCCCCCCACACACACACCCATCATCTCTGTCCAGAGGCTAGTAAGGGACTGGAAAACTCTACTGTTTTGGCAAACAATTTAGTAGTTAGCTGACAGGAGCCCTCCTCCAATGTGGACAATTCTTGCCTTGAGTCCTGAGGCAGAGCGCCCTTAAACTTGGTCCTAGAGTCCCACATCCTGCCCTCAGATCTCCCACACAGGGCTTGTTGGCTGCAAATACCAAGCTGTAACCCACCCGTTGAACACATTTTTCTGCTGAACAGATCTAACTACTTTAAGTCCATCTGCCTATCTGGCCTTGCCTGTCCCTCTCATTGGCTGCTGTGACACAAGAGACCTGGGAGGAGGGTCACAATACAGATATGCATACCCCTTGGCTGGCACGAGGCGGTTTTTTCTGCCCTCTTTGAAGTAAAGAGGAGAGAAGTTTGGATATGCCGCCCCAGCGACCTGACCGGACCCAGAACAGCATTGTTAACGGGCCCCTTGAATGGGGCTTCTGCATCAAAACGTCCCTGAGGCTACGCACTGGCTCCTCAAGTCCCTCCACCTCCAACCCCAGGGAGCAGCCATCCTTTCTAGAAGCTCCTGATGGGCTCTGAAGTCATCTTGTGGCACCAAACAGCTTGGTCCCAAAAGAGCTTCATCTGGGGGAAGAGCCAGTGGGGAGTATCCTCTTCTTTGGCCCGTTATGTGCCCCAGGCCCACATCTTACATGTCAGTGTTAGGGTCAGTACTAGAGTCTGAACTGGGTGCAGGATGAGGAGGGGGGCCCTCCTCTTGGACACAGGTGAACAGGAATGGTTGGACAATGTTCCTGATACCGGGGGGAAGCCGCATAGGTTCCAGAATGGCCCCTGGACCTGCACTGGCCGGGGGTCTGCACAGCAATCCAGAGGATGGGTTGTGGTGGCAGCTCTTAGCTGGGTGCAGGGCTCAATCCAAACTCCAGAGAAGAGCTGGGGGAGCGGTTCCCCTTACCTCTGCTGGTCAGTGCGGAGGGACTGGGGATTGGTGCTTGATGGGGGACGGCCTTGTCAACAACAGGAGGGCTGCTTTGCCTCTGGTCTGTACTGAGGCTCCCCTGGCCAGGCAAGAGCTTGAAGTCCCATCCTTGCTTCAAGCTCGTCCCACTCCTTGGAACCAGCAGTTGCCTCACTGGGGACAGCAGCACTGGGCCAGAATGGTGCCCAAAACCAGTGGCACTGGGAGGTGGAGGGGCCTTTCACACAGAAGCCAAAGTGCTCGGTGCTGAATCCAACTGGCTTGGCTCAGATGCCAGTCTAAGAGTGGCTTGCCAAAAAGGGGGGGGGACAGAGAAGGCAGACCCGGAGTCCAGCAGGTGGCAGTAGCTTCCAGTGGCTAATCACATGAACTGAACTTTCACTTAAGCCATTCTATTGGCACCATTGAATCTTGTAGGGTTTTCAGGGCTGGCCTTACCATGAGGTGAACTGAGGCGCCCGCCTCAGGTGCCAGACTGGGGGTGGGGGGTAGTGCCACTAGGACCCAGAGTGTAGAAAATTGTGTCTGCTGCTGGTGCATCTGTATTCTTTCTGCTCTAGATGCACAGAGATGGGGGAGCGCTGTGCTGGGGGAAGGAGGGCACAAGAGACATAACAGGCAGGCAGGAGAAAAGGGGGCATGGAGGTGTCAATTGAGCTCCCTGCCTCAGGTGCCAAAATGTTGTGGGCTGGCCCTGCAGATGACAACTCTTGCAGACACTTCAGACAGTTGGTGAGGGCAAGGGAACCATTTATGGGGGACTAGGAGCTT